CTAATAATTGATGCTGACTGAGAGAGCTAAAGTAACGAGTTGGTAGTGTTTCAAGTTCGCGAGTCCTACAAAGTTAACATACGTTGCAGAATGTCTTTTTAAGTTATTTCAATCATGGTAATCTAACACAAACTCTCTCAAATTATCTCAACAATTGACCTTAAACTAATTATTAATCAAATAGTTCGTTCATCCAAGTATTCGGTGGATTATTAAGTGCCATTTATATACAGTATGTTCAACCCCCCTAAATAATACTACTTGTTTAGTGTAGTAGTCGGTATAAAAAACAGATAATCTAAAGGATTGACTTAGTCAAAGTTTATAAATACATTGCCCCCAAATGCCCTGGTACAGCCGAGAGTGGGGAAAGTCCGCTCTCCCTCTTGAAATGCTCTCACATGGCCACGCGTATATAGCCTCTGCCAGGGAAGTCCTACTCACTGCCTTCTCGTGGCGGGGATGTTGTTTACGAAAATGAGGACGAAAAGCTAATGTCCAGCGTTTTAACCGGATTCCAAAATAATGGTGCACATGGACTCCAGTATCCTGCGGGAACAAATGGCGTATGAACCAATTGTTGGTCATCGGCTTCCATCTCCTTACGATGCTCCACTGCCTTGTGGATCAGACCTTCAGGTCGAAGGCTCGGGGAGTGGCCCCCTAAGAAAACCACCTGTTTCAGTTTGGGCACCCGGGCAGTATCACAGCCCTCACACATATCGAATGAGATTTGTGTGGCGTATATGTATTTGGTGCCTCCTTGTACCAATATCTATGTTAAAAAAAATAAAAAATAAATACATTAGCAATCTCAAACGTGTAACAAGAAACTGAATGATACAATGTGCTAATAAAATTATATTCTATAGTTTATCAGTGTGCAATAAAATTGTCTTGCGAAAAAAACATGGTGAGCATGAGTATCTTAGATGAAACACTTCACTTACGAAATCTTTTACATCCACTTCATTTTCCGGCGTTTTAGTAATGGAATCATTAGCATCAGCTGGATTTGCTTTTGAGATATTCTGTTCACAGTAATTTTCACTGGTAACACGTCCGACAGTCACAGACCCTGACAGGTATTCTGTAGGTATATCTTCGTGATTAGTAGTTTCAATTGATGCACTTGCCTCCGGTTGATCAAGAGCGTCATGACGTGTAGCTGTGATATCGGAATTCTGTATCTTTACTTTGGTTACAGTCTGTGGATCAGTTATAACTGAAGGTACAACAGCTAAAGGAGGAACGTTTATTTTTGATTGCTCAGTAGTTGATACAGGATTTTGCACGATGCTTAACGATGTTGCAGTAGCTTGTAAGCGTCTGAGTTGAGTTGCTGCAGAATAAATGGGTACCGACTGAGTGTCATGGAAAAGAAGGGTTGGTGCACATGAGTTTAGCCCAACTGAACTGCTTGATGTCGAACATGAAACAGCGCTAACGATAGAATTAGTCGCCAAAGTATTCGTCAGAGAATTGGTAGACGTAACTGTCATGCAAACACTCGGACCGCCTAATGGATTAGTAGGTAGAGTAGGAATTCTTTTGCGATTAAGTATTTTCGGTATGGTGAGACTACCAGTATAAACTTTGCGAATAACTTTGCGCGGACTATGACGGCGAAATGGCAGGTTTTGAACGGCACCAACAATATAAATGTTAGCATCACGTTTAGAAGTTCCATGACTGGAATTACTTGAATTAATATTTGAACAGTTACTGATATGAATAGCCGACGACTCTTCAGAAGTCACAATGTGTTCGTCGTCCTTCGCTGATGAAACGCGAGACGAGATTGTTGGACGTTTATGTACGTCTGTATTACCAGTTATATAGCTAAGTTCGAGTGGTAGGCAAGAGCGATGAGCTTCTATCTTAGTCGAGCCAGAAGACGAGTTGACTTGCAGATGCTGAAGTGAAGCTTTATCAAGGGGTCTGAGAACAGAATAGCAATGTCCTGGCTTACTATCAGCATTATACAGAACATGATGACTGGTTTTCCTTCTGACACTCAATTTTTCAAAGTGTTTATACCGGTGTGTTCCAGACTCCTCACAATCAGAATGGAACTCTCGTACATAATTTGTTGAGCGATGAATTAGTAAACCCGAATCACTCTGATATCCAACAAGCAACGAAAAATCACTTGGATCTTTATAATGATGGGACTTATTTATATGACGTGAATGTGATAAATACGAATGACGTGAGGCTAAACAAGAAATCCGCCTTGAACGATTGTGACTTTTGACTTTTTTCCAGGCATTCTGATCGCAGACCGACAAAGAGCGACAGACTGAGGCTCTATCATGAGAATCTAACTTTGAGCGGAACAATGAATTAGGACACCGTGTACGTCTTATACCTGCTTCATTTTCAGAAGAGAAAGTAAGGACAATGTTATATTCAGCATCGTTGTTAGCATTTTGTCGAAGAGCAAGAGATTGTATAAAAAAACCTGTACGGCTCATACGTTGTGTAAGAATATTCAATTCCTCTGCATGAAGTTGTTTAATATGGATTTCATCGTCATTTTGCGACACACTACAATTTAGTCCCAAGACTAAACGATCAAGAAGAGTGAGTTGGCACATCCTGTCTGGTCGTCGAGGGATGCGATGACGAGACGCATGACTATGACTGGGTTCTGGTAATACGATTCGGCGGCTACTAAACTTAGAACTTGTATGGATGCGCCGAGAACTTAATGAACGCTCTGACTTTCGTGGTGAACGAGACTCTAAAGCGCTATGGCAACAGTAACTTGATCCTGTTCGTTCGGAATGCCCAATTTTAGGAGGACGGTGATGGTACCACCTTGCTTGGCGAAAAGACCTTCCGTAAGCATCTACTATGCCAGACTTGGATGTTGAAGATGATGCAGAAGAATCGTCACGCAAACATGTCTTCTCTGAATACCAATTGTCCCGTCTATGGGAAGTCAAGAAACGTTCATTTGGACGCTTTCTCTGGAACGTGATTGCACGGCGTTTTTTGCGACGTCTTTCGAGACGCCGATCACCAGATAACTGTACGGACTTATTGTAATTTAAATTGAACCTTTCAGCATTGTTAGAACTACTAATTTGAAGATGAGTCCGGCTTTCTGGTTTTAGTTGTATTTGGTTTCCCATGTCTGTTTTGCGAATATCACAAGAATCTTCCAGAATATACTGTTCCAGATCACAAGGGCTATTATCGAGTGACCTTATAGGTGAAAAGTTACCAACATTTTCCATGCGAACTTTTGACGTAAAACTTGCTTGACGTTGGCGACGCTGAAGATTGTTACTAAGACCCGTGACTTCATTCTGCTTACTTGAGGAGACATAACAAAACTTCCAATCAATATGATGACTTACGTCTGGATGGCGACTAGTTCTAGATGATATAGAAACGTTCATTTTAGCAGTACGATGTGCAGACCGAGCTGCTCTTGAGTCCAGACATAATTCATCTACATATCCAGTACTTTGAGACCTAATAGGAGTAATCTGAAGGCTACTCTGAACATGTGATTTGGCTCGAATGAGCTTCTTAGCAGCAGTCAACCTCGCTGCTGACACAGTAGTCGAACGTGTAGATTGATGTCGAGTTTTTTCATTATTGTGAATACCATCAAGTGCGATGAGACCATCAATATGGGAATGATGACTACTTTGAGATATCATGTCAGAGTATCGTCGTGGACGAGGATTAGGACGTAAACGACCCATCAAATTTCGACTCAACTGCTTACTTCGATCTTCCCGTCGTCTGCGCCATACTTCACAAACACCTGGGCGCAAGAGGCCACTCATTGCTAAAAATAAATCTTTTGAAGCGAGGTCATCATTTAATCTGTCTTCTTTGCAAATGGAGTCAAAAATCCTTTCAACTGAAGGAGAATTGAAGCTCATTACAAATTGATCTTCATCTACCTTGCCAGGTGGGGTAGTAGGTTTTTGACGACCTTTTCTTATACGTTTGACAGGTAACTTTACAAAACCATATTCATTTACTTCATTTAATACTTCTTGGAGAACATCATCAGTGGCACCAAAACGAAGTTGAAAGGGTGAAGCTGTACATGATGTGCGCACTAGATCAATACTCGGAAACCTCCGTTCTTTAGTGATTTCTGGATATAAGTGATGTGAATCCTGAGGGAAATAAACTGACTCCTGGACTTCATCTTGAGTGACTTCCTTGCTTTCAGATTTTATGGGAGCACTGGTTTTGGGAAATAGTGCAGAACACAGCTTAAGAGGAGGTCTTCCACGTCGTCGTTTCGTTGGTAAAGGTAAATTAGCAGAAATTTCACTACCTTCTTTTTTAACGTCTGATCTGTTGTCATCAGATCTGTAGCTGCCTCCATTTGGTTTATCGGGCCTTAATGTACTTTCCAGGTCTACACAGTCAATAACAGAAGTATTGTGTACTGGAGAATCACATTTCTTGGGGAAGCTACTTTGGACAGTGGTCCCACTAGCTATGAAATCTACCGACTGACTAGTCGAATTAGCTCCGGTGTCACAAATGGACCGAGGAAGACCTCTAGAGAATCGTGGACGTCCTCTTTTGACTCCCCTACTAAATGGCCTACCAGGTGGATTACTAGTGTAAAGTTTTGGCTCGACCTCAACACTAGGTTTCGACAGATCAAACTTGGACTCATCTTCCACTTTTATTTTGCTTATACGAGATCTCAGAGTTGAACTGTTATTTATCGAAGAAAATGCGTCACAACCTTTACTTTTTGTTCGCGTAGCATACACGTTATGCATTAGAGGATCAGACGAAAAACTGCAAGTTTTGGATTCCAAGTGTACCGTACAGGGCAAACGACTACTTCCACAAAGACCCCGACTACCGCGCTTACGAATTTTTGGTCTTCCCAGGTTGCTCCCTACACAAGTTCGTGTAACTTCGGATGACCAACGAGTTCTTGGTTGACTCCGTAAAAATAAGGTACTAGTACGACCTCGTCTTGAACCAGAGCACTTATGATCAACAACACTTTTATGTTTGCTATATTTTGGGCCCAATCCTAGCGATGATACAATAGATCTTTTCTGACCTCGGTTTCTGAAACAAAATAATAAAGGACAATGGTGAAAATAATTCACACTGCAACAAAGTATTCATTACAAATTTTTATTCTTTGAAGTGATCTGGGCATTCTAATTGCAATATTTAGTAATTGTATATTAAGCTATACATATCTTAAGCGGCCATTTAACAAATAATTCCATTATTTTGTAGTCCACGTAGTCGCAACTTGACAAAAAAACTCACTCGCACCCAGCGGCGGCAACGTGAAGCCCGAAGCATTATATAATTATAACTATTTTGTATCTAGGTATATATATATATATATATATATATATATATATATATATATAATTGTGAAAATCTCACAAATATGAATACACTGAAATATACACGGATGTAGTGTTGATCATAAACGCCTTGAAACGAAACGTATAAAATGCAACAGAAGTAATGATACGATGAAAGGTAAAAACTCACCTTGTCCGCATCATATGAGAAAAACGTAGACCTATAAATATGTAATAAAAAATGTAGGGCAATGATAACAAAGAACGTTCGTGCACATTAAATGAAAAATAAATTCAATGAAGCGCAAAACTCGAACCAGATAGTACAAATAAGGTGATCGTTCGGATATAAACCACATTAACTGTAAGTTTAACTCATACTTTTATGGGAAATCTGCATATCTGACCACATCAAAAACCATTCGAAGTTTGTAGAAAACGAATCGAACTCATTTAACGCAAGATAACAACTTACAGTCGCAAAAGTTTTGAAAAACAAGAATTTGACCGATAAATCTATTTTGGACACACGCAACACAATAGCAAAATCGAAACCAAAACAAGCTGCGCGGGTCTTCACCGACCTACTGTCCAATCATAGGGATTGGCAGGCGTTCCAGCATAAAGTCGATTGAATAATTATAACAAGTTTAATAAAAATATTCGTTCTGTAAATAATACACAGATCACCAGAGTACATCAAAGTGTTTTTGGTTAACTATTTTATTGACTTCCGAAAAATTTAACAACCGATGTTTGGTGTTAAATATTCAATTTTGGTTACACCAATTTACAACGGTTAACTTTGAGCATGTTTTCATTCCTTGTGCGTTTCTTATGTATGTTAACAAACCATATCCCCATCGTCTTTTCTTCTGCTTTGTTGATCATGGCCTGCAATTAAAGATTATAATAGTAATATAACATACTTTTAGACCACTCTATACTATGTGGAGATTTTTGGCCTGTTGTATTATTCAATAACGTTGTCGGAGCTACATTTCGTTCCACACCGTCAGTCCCAATCGTGCTAGGGTGCATTTGTCAATCGGGTGAGATCCGTCTGTAGTTGTCATCCCAAAGAGAAGCTTATAAATAACATTCATTTCAAGACAACTGTGATCATTTTTCTTATTTAATATGTCATCTTACTGTAAGGGCAATTTTTCACTTTTTTATTCACAAAGTCACTAGAGTTTAGTGTTAATATTTAAAATACTCTAGTGAATTATGATAATTCCGCCTATACCGTAGAAATAACAGAGTTGTTTTTTAACCATGTTGACAGTTTAGTAAACATTAGGGCAAAATCAAAAGTATTACAGGTAACAGTTTCTGACATATATGCGGGGAGAGATTCACGGTAAAGCAGACGATCTGTAGGAATAATGCATTCACCATCGCTATTTATTGGTACAGACGCATATACAGAAATCAAGCCGAACATTATTCAGCCACGTGCAAACTTTAAGGTCTTATCAGCATTTAATCATACGCCTTGTTGTATTCTTCGAAATGTTCAAACATTATATGCTGTTTGTCACACGGACTTGTCTGTGTAAATAATGGTGTGACTTCCAAGTAAGTTTAGGCAGTCACATTACAACAAATCTGCAATTTCGAGATCAGGTATATCCTTTGAGTAGCAAAGATTGATGCACCGACTTAATAAACATTATATGTTATTAATTCTCATATTCACTTCAACTTTGTCGACTGACTTTTACTTTTGTTAATCCATTATTCTATTGGTTTGTTGATTAGTGCTTATGGGTAATGTATTCTGATAGTGATTGGTATCCATAATCAGTTTACTACCTCGATCGATGCTAATAACTAATCAACTTTATTTATGATTAGTTCTAATAGTTCATTGGCAAGCTTTGGTGGCATTCATATACTTCAAGATAACACGTTTGTTAAAACATCCATCACTAACAAAAATAGCGCCTAATCGACATAAATACACATAGACTGTCAATTATTATGAGCTAGGACAAATGAATACTTGAATGTAATTCTTCATCTTGTTCCTTCAATAACTATTTTAATATATTTTACACTATAGACTATCTCAAAATATCTTTGCGTTCGACCACTGACAACCTAATTCAGAATTCTCGAATTCAATTATTAAACAACAAAGGCAAGATTCTGGAAATTTGCGATGAGCTTAAGCTATAAAAATTCTCCAATCTTAGGCACGACTTAAACTATAAGTACTATGAAAGCCAATAATCCATCTGAAATCATTCGAGCGTGTTGATCATCAGTGTTGATGATCTCTGTCGAATGACTGGAGGCCTACTCGAGTTAGAAGGGAATGGTGTCATGAAACGACTAACTTCGAAATCACACCTCTTGGTCAGTGTCCAATGTGGATAACCTCCTCGGTGTATCAAAGTACTATGGCTGTCTTGAAGATCGTATAATACAAAGGATGATATTATAAAGATATATCAGTAAGAATGAGTACATGGAAGATAGCGAGACCAGTCTGTGGCACACAACTAACTGATGCGCGTTGGTTATCCTTGACCTCGACGAGGATCGGTGATTCGTTCGATATTCCGCTATTCGACTGCCAGATGGTTTTGCTAGGGCTTAGTGATATTTTGCTGTTCCTACAGATTTATACTTATTCAACGGAATCCCACATACCGAGAAATTAGTTGCAATAATGGGCGTTTTATTTGATTAAACTGGACTAATTTATTTGTCACAGCCGACGTTTTATGTCAAAACTGTTGAATAATCCCTATTTCGAGAATAATCCAGACGAGTTGTATAATTTCAGCAGCTGGTTTATCATGTTTGTCATACTTCGTAACATGTATATATTTTCACTCGATCTCGACACATACATTCTTTCGTCTAACTATCTCTTTCATTCTCGTTTTTGAGAAGATATGTATTCAAATGTTTCAGACGACAACATACTATCATGAGGAAATGTGTATTTATTGGGAGAATCATTTTACATTCAATATCAATTTGACACCTCTTAGTCCTGATTATCGTCGTTACCATATTATCTGCAGTAACCTCTTCCGGAAAGTCTACACTTTTCCATCATGCTCCTAACTTTTGTTCCGTAAGTTATGTCTCAGCTTTTGGATTTTCTGGAAAGTTTCATTTTGATTGTTGTTTTCTTTATCAACGTGGATTTTAACCTAGCTTGTTTGTTGTTAAGTTTCATGTCAACGGGCATGTTAACGTAGCTTACATATACATCATTTTATGTTATCTTTATGCCATTCAGATTTGCCTATTGTTTGAACTGCTCCTAAAGTTTTTGAACCAAATCCTTCACTGCATGTATTCAGGTTTATGAGATTGGCTATCATATTTGTTGTCTAATGGAACGTTTGACACTTCAGAAAATGGGCGATAATAAAGTCACCGCACTATAAATGTTATTACAATGCACTAGTTTAATCACTTAACTATTACGTAGTTCTTTGTAACAAAAGTGGTCAAAATAGAAACTTGGTAGTGTACTTGAATCAGTGTTAATACTTCTGCATCATGATTTGTAATGTAGTTAGGCGACTCCGATTCGTTACGGCTAAATACGTTATTACAAACTTCTGACGTTCCGAATCACTGAACGTGGACATATTCTGAACCTTCAAAAGTATTAAACGCTTAAAACCATACCTGATTCAATCAAGCGAACGCTCTGTCAACACCATTACTAGTCATTCATAATAACTTCTGTAAATCGTGATAAAGTATCGTCACAGCCTGGTAGTCACGTAATATGATATATAAAGTTTTACGTGGCTATCTTTATTTAACATGGATGATTTCGGCCAGTTTTTTAACCGGTCACTTCTTTAGCAAAAGACACGGAACTTAATCAGTCTGATCGAATGTTTGATGATACAATCATTTGTGAAAATCATTAGCGTAAGCAGCCCCACAAATCTCTTGCAAGCTAAAAGTATCGTAATCTAACTAAACTGAACACTGGCAAAATTTCGTACCACTCTCTTGCGAATTGGTCACGCTCTTGTAATCCTTTAAAGATGTATTAGGCTAAAAACATCGTACAGAACATCATCTTAGTTGTGGCATACAAACCATGTTGATTTCAAGGCTCACTTTAGAAACAAAATGACTATAGCTTCTGTTTACCTAATACTCACATTTAGGTTTAATGGGAGGTAGTTTTTAGCCATCATCCACAAGCACTAATATGGATAGCTGATTTACAATTTTGTCAGAAAATTGAGTTTAGTATATGTCTCTCACAACTACACAAATATTGAATTAGTTATTGTCAGTTGTCCACAATACATTCGTGAAACTACCACGGTTTTCACATAATAAAAGATTTTTTGATAACATTTCGTTTATTTTGGGAACATAAGTGAATTATACCACATTATTGCTAATACAGGAACAAAAAGGTGGTGCTGTTCACACGTCAAACTGTTAGTGCTATGCATTTCACTGTAGCTTGTTCAGTCACTTGTTAAGAATTGAGAATCATATAGCAGAGCCGATGCTGCATTCTACAATCTATGGCTCACGACTGCCCATTCGTTCTGGTTGTCACTGACATTGATGGGGCTGGGTGAACTGGTCGACGTTCAGTGATCAACCGGATGAACCTATCCAAGGTTCAGTATCATCTCGCTAGTCCCAAGTACGTTCTTCTCGGTTCTAGAGACAATTTTACTTACAAACAGCTTTTCTTGGGATTTCGAAAATGTAATCAATCATAACGCTTGCATCAACACATCTAACAGAAATGGTACCAGTAGAGAAACAAAAGGGCTTTATGTTTTCAATACTAAGCCACAATTCAAATTGTGTGGGCTATTTTCGAAGGAAAATAATAAGGCATATTATTATGTGCCTATGTACTTCATACGAATTTGAGTGCCACTTGGAAAGCTCAATACTATCAATTCATCTGAGTTACTCCCCATTGAGCTCCTTCCAGAAAAGCGACATCATTATGTAGACGCAGTACATGATGAACTTTTTTCAAAATTAGTATTTAAGAAGGTTCGGAAGCAGGTTTTCAGTAGTTTATGGGCCGGAGTATCTCAGGAAGTGGACGAACATCCTTTAGTATTTTATGGTTTGTAAGATTTGGAGTCTAAAAAGACTTGCGATTGTACTAAATATGTAATTGTAGTGAGTACAGCCAGAAGAATACTGATGAAGAGGAGAACGGAGAAAATTGCATTATCCTTCCGTGTTCCAAATAGTCAAACTTGAAGCCATTTAGGCTTCTTACTTACGCCTGTTACTCCTAATGGAGCATAGGCCGCCGACCAGCATTCTCCAACCCACTCGGTCTTGGGCCTTCCCTTCTAATTCCATCCAATTCTTGTTCATTTTTCTCATGTCTATCTCCATTTCCCGGCGTAACATGTTCTTTGGTCTTCCTCTTTTCCTTTGGCCTTGAGGATTCCATGTGAGGGCTTGTCTTGTGACGCAGTTGGGTGCTTTCCTCAATGTGTGTCCTATCCACTTCCAGCGCTTCTTCCTAATTTCTTCCTCCGCTGGGATCCGGTCTATTCTCTCCCATAGCAGGTTTTTGTTGATAGTTTTTACATCTTCCAAATCTT